TTACCCTAAACTCCAACCTTAACCCCAAACCCTAAACTCCAAACCCCCTTTAATTAGCTTAATTGTAATTACACTTAATCCACATGCAGCCCAGGTGTGCCAATCCATTGCGACGACCCACACGCGCCCTGGGCTTTAGTTATAGGGCTGTAGTTTTGGGCTTAGGGTTTCGGGTTTAGGGTTCCGGGTTTGGGGTTTAGGGTTTGGGGTTGGGGTTTAGGGTAAGGGCTTAGGGTTTAGGGTTTGGGGTTTAGTGTTCAAAGCTTGGGGTTAAGGGTTCAATGTTGGGGTTTGGGGTTTGAGGGTTTCGGGTCAATACTTATTGGAATCGAGTATACGCGGTTCGGGTACCCTAGTCCTCTCGCTTGTGCCCCGTATATAGGTAGCCCGAGCCCCCTATAATATATAGTCTTGTTGGATTCGAACTTCAGGTTCTTGGGTTATATAGTTGGTTCGGGTATCCCTAGTCCTCTCGCTTGTGCCCCGTATATAGGTAGCCCGAGCCCCCCATATATATATATATATATATATTGAGGATTGCTTTGGATTCGAATTCTGGGTTAAATATTTGGTTCGGGTATCCCTAGTCCTCTCGCTTGTGCCCCGTATATAGGTAGCCCGAGCCCCCTATAGTATATATATATATATATAGTGTGGAGGATTGCTTTGGATTCGAACTTCAGGTTCTGGGTTATATATAGTTGGTTCGGGTATCCCTAGTCCTCTCGCTTGTGCCCCGTATATAGGTAGCCCGAGCCCCCCATATATATATATTGAGGATTAATTTGGATTCGAATTGAATGTTCTGGGTTAAATATTTGGTTCGGGTATCCCTAGTCCTCTCGCTTGTGCCCCGTATATAGGTAGCCCGAGCCCCCTATATATACGTAGTGTTGAGGGTTGCTATTGGGTTATTAAATTCAGGTTCTGGGTTATATATTTGGTTCGGGTATCCCTAGTCCTCTCGCTTGTGCCCCGTATATAGGTAGCCCGAGCCCCCTATATATATATATATATATATACGTAGTGTTCAGGGTTGCTATTGGATTAATTAAATTCAGGTTCTGGGTTATATATTTGGTTCGGGTATCCCTAGTCCCCTCGCTTGTGCCCCGTATATAGGTAGCCCGAGCCCCCCATATATATATATATATATATATATATTTATCGTCGAGGATTGCTTTTGGATTCGAATTTCAGGCTCTGGGTTATTAGTGCTCACAGTTTTGGATTAAGGGTTCAATTTTGGGGTTTAGGGTTTTAGGGTTAACAAATTCGGGTCAATATCAGGATTCGAGTTGACATATGCGGTTCGGGTATCCCTAGTCCTCTCGCTTGTGCCCCGTATATAGGTAGCCCGAGCCCCCCATATATATACATATGTAGTGTTGAGGATTGCTTTTTGGATTCGAATTGAAGGTTCTGGGTTAAATATTTGGTTCGGGTATCCCTAGTCCTCTCGCTTGTGCCCCGTATATAGGTAGCCCGAGCCCCCCATATATGAGGATTGCTTAATTAGATTCGATTTCAATTATAAATTTGGTTCGGGTATCCCTAGTCCTCTCGCTTGTGCCCCCATATAGGTAGCCCGAAACCCTTATAATTAATATAAGGGGTTCCGCGGGGTTATTATATGTGGTTCGGGTACCCTAGTCCCTCTTTTGCTTAAGCCCCATAGGTAGCCCGAACCCCATATTTTATAAGGGTTCCGTGGGGTTACATGCATGCATAGGGTTGTGTGGGGTTATACATATCTGGTTGGGGTACCTTAGGCTAGTCCTCTTGCGCCTATACCCCATAGGTAGCCCGACCCCCCCTTGATTTAATATAATAGATATATTATATCGATCTGTGTTCCGCCTGGTTACATATATCTGGTTCGGGTACCCTAGTCCTCGCTTCTGCCCCATATATTATAATAGGTAGCCCGAACCCTATAAATATTGGTTGGGGATTCGGATTTCGATCGATAGGGTTCCACGGGGTTACATATCTGGTTCGGGTACCCTAGTCCTTTTTCGCTTAGGTAGCCCGAACCCCATATAATATATTCGGCTATTGGGATTCCAGGTCTGTTGTGATTTCAGCGATCTAGCAGGTTATGTTTTATCGGTTTGGTTCGGGTGCCCTCTTGATCCAGGGAGTATTGGAATCTGCTTGGGGTACCCTGGTCCTCGCGCGCTTACGGCCCTAAAGTTAGGCAGAACCCCATTAAATAAATGAATACGTTTCCGCGGATGACAACTGCTCTGGATTTTCGGCAATCGACAGCTCGAGTTATAATCTGGTTCTGGGTCTCGTGCACGTAGGGCTTCATACATGGGTCTTGCAAGAAGTGGGGTTTATGGGACTTAGATCTGGTATGCATCGACACCGTCCTAGTTATATCATTTTCTGAATCGTGCACATTGCCACGGATAGGATGGCTTCAAGGATTAGGGTTTGGACTAATTGGGGTGTAGGTGATTAGCATCTGCATGGTTATTCGGGTCTATATATATATATATATATAGTCTTTCTTTCGGATCTCAATTGGGGTTTCACATCGGGGTTCATAGATCGAATTGGGCTTGAAGGATTATAATATGAGGTTTGGAGTGATTAGGGGTTGTGTTATCAATCCGGAAACCCTAGCCCCAAAATCCCAACTTCTCTGTACTAGATTTAAACCCAGGGCCTTTTTTTTTTGTTCTTGCGGCGTCGCCCGCGCAGTTGATCCTGAACGACGGCCTTATCCGGACCCAAGGCAAGCAGGGGTTCCAGACCCAAAACAAGCTGATCCGCTTGCGGGGACGCCTTTTCCGGACGGAAGGAGCTAGCAGATCCGCCTCAGCAGCTCATCTTGGGACAGATTCCCCTCGACGCTCAGTTCCTCCATATGGAGTGCGTGGAGACGTCTGCACTGGCACTCATCGGAAGCCGACTTCGAGAGCGTGGTTGAAGAGCTGGCCAGACAACCAACGGACTATTGGGGCCCCCCCCCACCCAAACCCTGAACCCTAACCCTAATCAACCCTTCCAATATAATAGCTAGGGTTCAATAATCGTCTTCATAAACCCTTCCCCCACTCCCTACTAAGAAGCAACAGGGACTATAAATGTATAATATATTTTTTTATAAATATATATATATATATATATATATATATATATATACCAATATTATAGGGTTTCCCTAGGCCCCGGCCCCGCTACATATAGGATTTGGTGTAACTCATATAGGGTCTTTGTACGCCTACACATCACGAAACAAAGACAAGCACCCTCAATTGAAAACAAATCCTCCCTACAGTACTGCAGATCCAACAATCTTACATTAGCGGATCCGGGATATCCAGCACATCGATCCTGATATATAGGACTAGGGTATCCGGTTCGTTATACCTTGCAACACCGAACGCTAAACTTTATTCCCCCTGAACTCTCAACCCCTAGCAAATAAGGCCGACGAGCTATACACCATTTGGAATGCGATTGGCTCCAGATTCGATGTCGTCACTTGGTGGACTCGGCACCAGGCAGCTTACCATGAACCTCCAATAAGTATAGGGTTTAGGGTGTAGAGTTCAGGGTAGGGGTGCCAGGGTTCCGGCTTTGGATTTTGGGTTTAGGATGTAGGGTTGAGGTTCCAGGTAGGTCGTGACCTCCAGTCCAAACAATACCCTTCGACTTAGTATAAGTATAGGGTTAGTAATTTATGGGGATAACAATGGGGTTTCTAGGGGGCTTATGGGGATAATAATGGGGTTTCTAGGGGATACTAATTTAGTAGACTTACTAAGTCAAAAGGGCCTCCAAGAAGTCCAGTCCGATTCCATGCATGCATGGTCGATTCTGTGCTCCTACTGAACAGCTTAGGATCACATGGGCTACAAATACCCGTGGAATCACTCTGGATTCAGATCATGGAGATTCCATATATCGTGACTTGGTGGTATCCCGCCTCGTGGTCTGAAATGTATCCAAGTGCTGGAGTGGTTGTTGTCAAACTGCATGTCTAGACTCATGCGTGCAACGCAATCCAAGGTTGAATTCGAGATGCCATGGGTCGATGGATTATATCGTTCTGGATGGCATGGATCGATGGATTAGATCGTACCGGATTCGGCATTGTGGTCATTGCTGTGGAAAGATCATGTATGCGTGGCTTCTCGGATGTTCCTCTCAGTTTCAAGCTAAACTCTACACCCTATGCAATCCCTGAACTGATTAATATATGTCCGAGGCGCTACGGATCTTGGAGAGTGGAGATGCCACACAAGCAGCTGGACCTGCACAGATTAGTCGCGCTCGGTGCTTTTAATGGTCGTTTGAAACGCTTCTGTAGGGCCCGGGGTTCAGCTTAGGATTTGAGATTACTCGCGGGTTCCTGGATCGAGCTCGATGCGGATATTAGCTGCTGCTGGGATGAGTGCTGGGTTGGCAAAAGCTTGGGAACCTGTCCGTTCGGTCGGGAGTGCCCCACGTGCTTCGCATGCTTGGTTGCAATAGCTTGCATGCTTATCTACTGCAGGTATTTTCTGTTTTCATGGATCCATGCATGTCGTTCTAACCTGTCCCGAGGTATGTACATGTAATAATGCTACACGGAAATTCAGCAGACATTACATGACGTGTGAATTCCCAAAACCCATGCACAATACCCAGCACACATATATGCATGCTAGCTATGCATACCCTAAACCCAGATCGACCCCTAAACCCTAGCTAATTTATCCCCGGCCTTAATTTACATAAATTAGCGCTGCTAGTTTGTTGCGACATTTTGTCGCATCGTGTCTTGCAAGCCCACTGCAGATGCTCGGCTGCATTGTGACATTCAGCTATTATTGCTGTCTAGGAATCGGCAGTGTGACGTATATAGATGCCACGCTTAGGAATGCCACGCAAAAAGGATGGTGTTGACAGTGTGGTGGAGAGTCTCGGTGAGAATCTGTTGCGATTGCTACAGTCATGCCGTGTATGAGGGGGGATTTGGGCCGAGGAAGCTGAAAGGATGCATGAAAAAGCACCTGAAGGTGGAGGAAGTGAAGAAGAACGGCGAGCTCGTCGCCGGTGGGCCTCGTGCACAGCGTTAGATGTTATTCTGTTTGCTGTAGTGCCAGGAGGTGACATCCGACGCAAAAGAAACAGCTGGTTTCGGGCAGCCTTTGAGGATGCGTGCCTCATCCGTATTGGCAGTGTAGACACACTCTCTCTCTCTGTCTCTCCCCCCCTCTCTGGCTATGCATGCTCTCTCTCTTTCTCTCTCTATCTCTCTCTCTCTCTCTCTCTCGCTCTCTCTCTCTCTGTATCTCTCTCTCTCTCTAGCTATAGTTTCATCTCGATTCCAGCTTAGGTCCCTGAAGCGCAGACCTTCGCGAAAGAGCATCCTATCGGTGGTGCAGCAGATCAATCAGGATCTGAAGATATGTGCCACCGCTGCAGTGAAGACATGCATTATCCCACATGTGCTGCTTTCTGGTACAATGCTTGCATGTACTATGTTTCTATGTGTACACATCGCATGCTCAGGCCCCTATGGGCTGGATACTGAAGCATGGGCTTCGGTGCAGGCCTACAGAATCGTGTGCATTAGACGGCTTTGACATATGGATCTAGCCAGGCGGACAAGCTGAATGCGATGATGGAAAGGTTGGTTAGAAGCTGTCAAAGTAAGAACCGCGCAAAGACTGGGTCAGCAGCGACGCCAGAAGCATCCGTGGCCGTGAATCCCGACAACCTGGAGACGCAGGTGATTGAGGAGCCGGACATAGAGGATTTGCTCAAAGAGCTTTGCAAGGAGAACGGTCTGGATTACAACGCGGAAGGAGTAGAGGCCGGCATGTATATATGGATTATGTAAAATGACTATGTAAAGGGCAGGAATTCCGGGTGTCGGTATCATGTACACTTCCTATACAAACTGACACTAGTGGGCAATGTCCTATCATGTAGGGTTTATGTAGGATCTGACACTTTGGGTTTTCGGGGTTTGCCCTAGTATTCTGTAAGAATCTATTGCCCTAGCACACAATCCCCCCAGGATGATGAGAATCCGCGGCTTCTGCGTTCACAGCATCTGCCGGACGGCACACAGGTGGATGACCGGCCCGAGGATTGTTCTCTCTCTCTCTCTCTCGCTCGCTCTCTATCTCTCTCTCTACAGCTCCAGTTCCGGATCATGTTTTGTTTGTACGTGTCAGGATGAAGCCTCCGAAGTGGGGGACCAAGCAGACAAAGAAGAAGAGCAGGATTCATGGTACCGTTGTATATATATATGTACGAATACCATATTTATATATATATATATATAGAAGAGTGTATATCATGTGCATGCACCTGCGAAGGACATGGATGAAGAAGCCGATGTGGCCGAAGAGTCACAGGAAGGGCAGGCCGGGCTACACAATATACATATATATATATATATATATAGAAACCGTCAATTTAGCATGTGCATGACAAGGACATGGATGAAGAAGTCGATACGGCCGAAGAGTCTCAGGAACAGCAGGCCGGGCTATAGACAATAATTTAGAATCAGTCAACATCTGCATGCATGACAAGGACATTGGTGAAGAAAGTGATCCCTCGCAAGAGTCTCAGGAACACCAGGCCGGGACATAGAAGATAACTTCGAATCAATCAACATGTGCGGGCATTTCGGGGTATGTTAGAGGGTAGTTGGGGGGGGGGGGTAGGAAACCTCAAGCTCTATATAAGTCTATCATGCTGTTCAGCTTTCGGGGCTCTGTATCGGTATTCGGGTTTCTGGGCTTGGGATTCATGGCTATTTAGGAGGGCTTATTCTGAAGTATGGTTATACCTATATATATACATATACATTAACTATAGCAATACTATAGGTTTTTTTTCTGGCTATTCCCAAAATATCGTATGGTTATACCTATATTAACTACCAATACTATATGGGCCCTTTCCTGGACTAGAACTACAGTATATGGGCCCCAAGCCGTATTCTACTTATTAATGTGCATGCCACAAGGACATGGACGAAGAAGCCCATTCCACCGAAGAGACTGAGGAACAGCAGGCCGGGCTCTAGACAAGATTTTAGAATCAGTCAACATGGCCTGTGCATGCATGACAAGGACATTGGTGAAGAAGGTGATGCCGCCGAAGAGTCTCAGGAACACCAGGCCGGGCTATAGAAGATAAGTTAGAACCAAACTGCATGTGCATGCATGTGTGAAGGACATGGACTCAGAAGTCGAGGCAGGTGAAGAGCAGGCCGGGCCATATATAGTTTTAAATTTCGAACCGATGATGCATGCGACAAGGACATGGGCGAAGAAGCCGAGGCCGTCGAAGAGTCTCAGGAACAGCAGGACGGGCCATAGTTCATCATTTCTTTTCCATATCATGATGCTTGTGCGAAGGACATGGATGAAGAAGCCGACGAGCGGGATCAAGAATCTGAGGACTGTTATCATGCATTACAGCAGACAGATGAAACGAGCTTATCGTGTGCAAATGGCCAGGACGATTGCGAGCAGGACAACCATTCGGGGGAAGAGCAGAACCAGGATTATGATGCAATTTCAATGCATTACTGCAGAGTATCCTCCCACATATGTTATATATATATGCATTGTGCACTAGGAGATGCCCCATGAAGAATGTGATGAAGAGCAGCCCGAGGATCCGACATGTGTCGTGCTCACGATCGATGTTTATTTATGGGGGGTGGAGTGCTGACATGATCAGGACGATGCCGAGATCCAAGACGATCAGCAGAGTCAGGACTGTCGGTGCGTAGCTCGGCGATTGTGTCTAGATCTTTCAAATTGTGCCAGGACATACCACAAGAAGAAGCCGGCGACCAGTCAGAGCAAGAATCCGATCAGGCTTCATGTGCAGAGCCGATGTATATTCGTGCTATGAAGGTGGTGTCTATGCAATGTGCAATGCGTGGCAGGACCAAGCTGATGTGGGCCAATCAAAGTCCGAGGAAGAGCAGCTCGAGGATACATGTGTCCTGCTTTGTTAAACAAACATGAATTTCACAGTTTCGGTCACGATCGGGATTTTTCTTCGGGTGTGGACTGCCCTGAGTTGATCAGGACGATGGTGAGATCGAAGACTCCGACGAGCAAGAGCAGAGTCAGGATTGAACTCATGTAAAGCTCGACAGCTGTGTCTAGAATGTGCAACTCGTGGCAGGAGATGCCCTGCGAAAATGCACAGGAAGAGCAGCTTGAGGATATGTGCATCCCGCTTTAGAACACATGCATGCATGCAAGCAAACAAGAATTTAATGTATAATTCAGACACATTCGGTCAGGACGATTCCGAGATCGATGCCGGTGTTCCCGGCGACCACTCAGAGGAAGAGGCGATTCAGGACGCTACTTGTGCAGTACTTAGATCCTTACATGCATGCATGTGCGTTTTAACTGTACTATGCAATGTGCAATGTGAGACAGGACCGAGCTGACGTGACCCAGGAAAACTCCGAGGAAGAGCAGCTCCAGGATATGTGTTTCCTGATAAGTGTATGGCATTTACATCATGTATGAAATCAGGACGATTCTGAGATGGAGTCTGGTGCGCCCGACGACCACTCAGAGGAAGAGCGGAGTCAGGATTGTCTTTTGTGCAGTGCGGAGAGTATATATATATATATATATATATATATATATATATATATTATTGTTAATGTGCAATGATCGAGTGGCAGGACCAAGCTGATGTGGACCATGACAAGTCAGAGGAAGAACAGCTGCAGGACACGTGTGTCTAGCTCTAAAAGACGATGTTCAATACTCCTTAATAGAATAGGCCATGCATGTGATATTATATATATATATATACGTGTTGTCAGGAAGATGATGATATCCCGGCCACACAGCCCGACAGCCAGCTGTGTCAGGATTGGGGTTTTGCTCTACCGGACATCTCCAGATATGCTATAATGCTCGTATTGAAAATCAGCCAGGCACCATCGGATGCCGAAGACAACGAGGAGAAGCCAGACGATCAGGACCGCGATGGTGTACCATGTATGCACATGTGCATGTCCTAGCCTATACCGCCATAGAATACTTAAGATTACTGTATCGTGATACTGAGCTAGGAGCGTGATGCTGGGGCACATCCGCTTCAAGGCGATATCGATGAGACTGGCAATGCCGCCGAGGAGTGTGCAGTGTAATGTGTATAGAGCCATGATCATGTCACCTTGTTCGGTCGCGATCTGTCAGCGGAAGCGCTCGCTGAAACGCAATGCGAGCACGGAAGTGCTCTTTGAACAAAACAAAGGGCGTGCACTCACAGCCCAGCTCAACCAGCTCGACCTTGCACCGATCCACCAAGCAGCACTAGACGCCGCCGGGGCAGTGCCGCCCATCAGCCCTGCCGAACAACTTGCACTCCTGAGGGCCGAAGTGGCCTCAAAAAAGAAAAGAATGCCACAGGAAGCAGCAGAAACGGTGGAACTCGGAGATGGCTGGTACAAGGAGAAGAGGCGCCATTCATTAGCAGCTAACATGCATGCCTGCGCCTTGATCGATTGCATGTGTTGCATTGTGTTGCAGGGTAAGAACGAAGGGCAAGCAGCAGGGCAAGGTTTATGTCTTTTACACCAACCGGGACGGACGAACGGCTGACTCACGAAAGAAGCTGGAGTCTCAAGGAGGCCACGATCCAGAACCAGATGGGCGAACCACCCGCCACCAAGCAGCAGCAGCAGCAGAGGAGGAGGCCGAAGGAGACGCTAAGAAAACGAAGGCCAAAGGAAAAGCGAAGGCGAAAGGAAAAGCGAAGGCCAAAGGAAAAGCAAAGGCGAAAGGAAAAGCGAAGGCCAAAGGAAAAGCAAGCAAAGTTGAAGCCGTCGTGAAGGCAGTGTCTGAGGCTCGTCATATGACAATATATACATAGCATATGCTGATCGAGTGCACAATGTATATATATATATATATTGCATGTATACATGAAGTGTAACTGTGCCCATTGTCAGGACGAAGAATCTGAGGAGGGAGCTCTCCAGAAGATGGATGAAGGATACGAGAGCGAAGCGCTTGAGAGTGAAGAGTGCTAGACACGAAGGCCAGGGACAACATGTAGACTTGATGTGTGATGGCATGTACCATGCATATGTTAAGAATAGACGCTTGTATTCGTATGGAGGATCAAGGCTGCGATGCTTGGAGATGCAAAGGATGCGAAGCGAAGCGCTTCAGAGTGAAGAGTGCAAGACACGAAGGCCTGGCATAACATCTAGATGTCATGTGTGCATGCATGCTTCTACCATGCATGTGTTAAGAATAGATCCTTCTACCTCGATCCATGGAGGAGCAAATTAAGCAAATTCGCTACTTGGAGATGCAAAGGATGCGAGTTCTTCAGCTCGCTGTTGCCTGCTTCTCTCAAAAGGACGGCTCGCTGCACAGGATCTGTCTGCAATGGGTGTGCAATCACATGACAGCATGTGACGCCCCCGGTGCTTGCATGCTGGCAATTTCAAGTATAAGTATATATAGGTTAAATATAATTCTAATGTATAAGCCCGCACGACCCTTATAATACTTCATCATATATTCGCCTGGAACAATATATGCCCTGAATGCTATGATGAACCCGGTCCCATCCTATCTTCCTCAAGAATACCTGTGGAGCTATGAAGCTCTCCATGGTCTGGCCGATCCTGCAGTTTATAGCGCAGCTGGAAAAGCCGGCCCCGATGGAGCAGAATGATTTTGTTTTCCAGCTGCACAGATGCATGGTCATCGATACTCTACTAAGCTATTGCTCTCAGCCCGAAACCCTAGAACGTAAACCTAGAGCCCTCCACCCTAAACCTTTTACCTTTGATCACTCAATCCTAAACTCTCGATCTGTTGG